TTTTTTTTTTATAAATTAACATATTATAAACCCGCATCATCACACGGGCACGACAACTAGTTGTCTACTAAGGCCTGTACATGCCATGCATACATCCGCAAGAAGTACTGGTATGTGGCATCCAACGCCAGAAACATGGGCCCATCCCAACTGAACGGAAAAACCTGGTTTTTACGCCAACCCAACAGGGGACGGGACAGGGGCGGGTCATCTGTACCCGCGCCCACCCTCGCAACCCGGTGCCTGACCTTACGAGTAACCTTATATATATTTTTTTATATATATATACATTAATAAATTGTTATATCTTGTTAAATATTAAACAGTATTACGGAGAATAAAAATTATCGGGCCCCCTCTCTCGCCGGGACTCGAATCCAAGCGGGTTACATAATATGAGAGCCGAATCCGAAGAAGTCTGAATAGATATTCCAGGGAGGGGAACCCTAACGTGAGCGTTGGCACAACATCTACAAAAAAAACAGCTGACCGATAAACTTGGCACCCGAAGGGAAATATTTATACGAGACACAGACGGTATCAATCGAGAGAACTAACACCATTATTTTTGTAGCTGAATATAACAATGTCACAGTTGCCATCCTTAAAACAGTATTAGATTTTAAGGCCTTCAATTCATTTCTTCATGAGAAGAACCACTGTGTGCGCCGCGATGCTTCTATTTTCACCAAGGCTATCGACCTTTTCATGAGTTTTCGCTTTCAGATTTACAACAGAGGGGTCCGCTCCTAGCAGCTCCGACAAATTGGCCCTGATAGCCTCCTTGTGTGGGCTGAGTTTTGGCCTTTGAAGGATCAAGGTAGCATCCAAGTTTCCAATCTCGTAACCTGCCTCGTGCATTAGTCTCATCTGCATTGAAGGCATAGGGTAAGCTTTGTATGGCTGATCAACTGAACTGCTTAGAGTACCTCACATTATAACATCCCAGGTTTCAGAAAAGTAGATGAATTTTTTTACAGATGTAAACGCAATGCACCCTTTGATTGACAAACTGGAATAAACATCTAGCTGATTCCTAATAATGACACAGCTAATGTCTGAAACACAAAGTGTACAAGCATTATAACAAAGGATATTTACAGGATAAATCATCATACCATGTTGTTATCCAGACATGCATATAATAAGATTGGCTACTTGTTCCTTGATGTCAGTACTGGTAATCTCACATGTAAATGTCAATGCCAGTACACCACTCAAGTCAAGAACAGCCCAACCCATTATTTAAGATGTTTATCACAGTAGTAAATGATAATGAATAACATGGAAGAGTAACTATAAGATGTTTGATCATCAAAGGTTGTTTCAAAACCTATTAATGCTACATAAGATTGTCACAGATGCAAATGGGAAAGTGATAGATGGCAACAAGGAGTGGAGGAATAAATAAGCTCAGGATAGCTTCCCGGCAAAGATTGCAGGGGATGAGGGACATTACAGCAAAAGGATTGTGAAACTGTTGTAGTTTTATCTAGTTTTGGCAAGAAATGTGGCTATACAGTTAAGTTAAAGCAGCTAGATTACAAAAAAAACGTGACAAACACAACAACGATCAACTCCTGTCACCGTAACAGAGAAACAATGCTGACATTCTCTTCTTTTCTCTGCCAAAATTCCCTTTCTGTCCTAGACTTGCAAATCTGTTTCTGCAAGTCCTAAAGAAAACGCATCACCAAGACATTATATATGTTTTATGGTAGGTAGGACTGCTAAGAAAACACATGGGACAGATGCATAACATAAATAGATGAGATAAAAGAGCACATGCTGGAAACATATTTTTTTTTGCAGGAATGGTTTAAATTAAACCTTCAAAAGTGATATTAAGACTGATCTGGTGAAGCTTCTCTGCTGTTTTCTACCAGCTACAATAAATTTCACAAAAATATATAGAATTGATACATTAAGGCCCAACCAAAGCAGATAGCAAACATTTAATTAACAGTGAGAGGCTACTCTGTAGTAGTGCCATTAGCACTACACTAAGTTTTGATGGCACTCTAATTCTCTCAAAACCTTTCTTTCTCTCTTAATAAAAGTGGAGTAATATCAAGTATCGACACTTTTGCACAGTGCTAGAGGTCCCACCCGCTTCTTTAGGGATGTGTACATTTAGGTAGTATGACTTTTATTTTTGTGAGGACACGTCATGCAAAGGTAATTTCCTATGAAAAATCCTTGCCTGCCTCTCCTACACTCCCCAGTCAAACTAGAAACAAGTACAGTTGTTCCAAGCAAGGGTTTCTTTTCATCAGCATCAATCCAGAAGTATAGAGATTTTAGAGCACCTTCAACCAGAGGCATAGAGATTTTAGAGCACTATCAGAATTGCTTCTTCGCAGATCGTATACTCTACCTTTAACGTCAATTCATGTAAGCAAATTGATTTAAAAAAGAGGCGAGATAGTTTGAAAATCAGGTTGGTTAATTCAGAGTGTAACTACAAACCAACTCTAAAATATCGTGTACTATTGCCTGTGAAAGCGTAGATATTTTTGTTTCTTCCACAACGATAGAAACTCTCTAACCATTTAACTTTTAAGTTTAGCAAATATGATTTATTCAGTGTGTTCAAAGCCTAACGAATTCCTCAAAGCTTCTTGACTAGCACATCTAAGCCTGTGAGTGATTTGCCAAACCTAAATGTGCAAAAAAAGTTGAAACTATATTGAAAGTAATGACAATAAAGTCAAACATTAAGACAAAACACAACCAAATTTAAGACAACCAAGAGCCCATAGTAAACTTGTCTGATTCTCATAGCCATGTATACGATAGAAAAGAAAAGAAAAGAAAAACTCACAGCTTCTTGGATAAAAACAGATGAAGGTGCTCCTTTCCACTTGGGATCAGAATCAGGGAATATCTGCCCGATATCAGGGAGCCCCAGAGCACCCAATACTGCATCCACAACACAGTGAAGTAACACGTCCCCTGCAAACAGTTCAATAGAACTAATTAAAGAAAATCACATCTCAATTAGTTCCCATAAAAAACCAACACCAAAAAAATGATTGAAGCCCGAATCTCGTTCAAGTTCCAAAACTCTCAACTTTGAATTATAACATTTAATTGATATGGAATTGGGAAAAAAGAAACGTCAAGAATCAATCAAAATGTTACCATCAGAGTGAGCTTCACATCCTCTATCATGTGGCACATCAATCCCACCAATAATCAAAGGGTACCCAGGTTCTAACCTGTGGAGATCAAACCCATGACCCACTCTGAAAGGCAGAGTCTTTGATGTTTTGCTAGAAGTTGTAGGTCCGTCTACTTGTATAGCAGTGGTACTTGCAGCTGATATCGAAAGTGTGGTTCTTTTCTGAAATGGTACAGCGAACTTGACATGCCTGGAGACGTGAGCATCAGGTTGTAATGGAAAAGATACACTTTTGTTATTGTGGGTTTTGGTTGTTATCGGAGAATATGAAGTGTACAAGTTTGTGGCCGTGGCAATGGCCATTGGACCTTTTGAGTTCTCTTTGTTTTACAATTTACAGAGGAAAATTGGTTCCTTTCTTATGGTGCGTGTCTGCTTTCTGTGCAGGGGAGACTGTCTTTGTGGTGCTGGTGGTTCGGCAGGAGGATTTGGCAAGGTACAATGCTTGGTAAGCTGAAGGTACAAGCTCGTGCAAATGGGGAAAGGACAAAACATAGTTCGTTTAGATGACTTGGGTTTACTCAAACAGAATCTAAATTAAAAGAAAGAAACAAAACTATACACAAGGAGGAGTCAAGAGATTTTATTGTACGATAATAACAAATTCAAAACTTGATTTCTTGATTAAAACACGTGGCTAATAGGATTATTGATGTATCATTCTTTAAGAAGATATGTGCTAAGAAAATTGTACCACATTTATCCTGGTTGCCATATAAAGATCTTTGTAACTTAATTAAATACATTTCTTGGGTTTTTAAGTTGTAAGCTTGAAGCATTTTTACTCCTTGAAGAAATTTCATATAAATATCACTATCAAGTAATCCATATAAGTAAGTTATTATAATATCCATAAGATGCATAGGAAATCTTTAAAAAATAAATAACAAGGTAATTAAAAACCTAAAGATAATTGCATGCATAATATCACTATCAAGTAGTCCTTTGTTGTTCAAAAGAAAAGAACCCAAAGAGGAGGGCACTCAGTGTATTAGTTGGGCCAAGAACAACAAAAGAGACGAGGCGTAAAGGGTTTTATATGAAGAAGCATTTACCTTGAGTGCAAATAGATGGCCTAGGTTGCAGACCACGCTGGGTACAGTGCTCTGTGTAGCAGATGGGCACATGTGGCTTTCGTTTTGTGTGCCTCTTTAAATCATCATAGAAGAATCGAGTCTTCATTTGCCCCCTTTAACGAGATCATTTTGTTAATGAAAAAGAAAATACATTCCGGGTTTTAGGTTGACTTATTAGATTAATCAGGTTTTACCGAGTTAAATGCAACTCTGATTTATACCATAATTAAACTTGGTTAAGGTTTTGGATTGATCGGGTTTTGAATCAATCATTAGGTTACTTGACCTGTATCTTTCCTTTCCCACGTATGAATTTATCCGTCGCATGGCACATCAAAACCCAATAATGACCTCATACATATACAAGCCACAATTGTTAACCTTTTTCATATATATATATATGTCACGGGTGCTTATGGTATTTCGATTTTTGTGTCTCTGACAGTTAGCTGTCTTCGTTGCTCACGTTTAACCGCGGGGTTAGATTATTTTTTTGAATGAAAAATAATATTTAGGTATTAAAAATAAATAAATAAAATTATTTATGATAAATATGTTAAAAAGCTAATTAGAGTTAAGTTAATGCTCGACATTCTTCTGTCCAACTTGGGGTCTTCATCATGTAATTAAAATAATTTGATTAAAAATGAAAAAGATTGCTTTTTAAAAAATATGTTAATTTTATTAAATTTATAACTTGAGTTATTAAATTTAAAGCACTTAATTTAAAAAAATTACAAAGTTTGATTCCCATAAAATTAAATTGAATTTTTTTAATTATATAAAATTTTGTTTTAAAAATACTAATTTAAAAAATAATGATCAAAATTATTATCACAACTATTATTAATAAGTAATATTATTATTATTATTATTATTATTATTCGTAGTAGGAGTAGTAATATGGTTACCAACACAACCACTACAATAATTATTATTATTATTATCACCACTAATTTTTTATTATTATTATTATTATTATCACCACTAATTGTTTTTGTTGTTGTTATCACTACTATTATTAATAATATTATTACCATCATCATAATTATTATTATCATTATTAATTTAATTATTGTTGTTATGCTGTTATCATTAATAATATATTATTTTTATAATTATTATCATTATCATTATCACCATTATCATTATCATTATTATTATTATTACTACTACTACTATAATTATTTTTATTTTTATTAGCATCATCATTATTATTAATATTACCATGACTATCATTACAACAATTATCATCATCAATTACAAAAAAAAAACATGAGCTTGATCTGATGGATAAAATTCAAAATTATAAAAACTTAGACAAAAAAGTCAAGAAAGACAATAAGAAATCAAAAGAATATGAACCAAAATAAAAATCATAAACTTGATTTAAAGGATAAAATTAAAAGATATAAAAACTTTGACAAAAAAAATAAAAAAATAAAAAGTGAAAGCTCCGAATCAAAATGCCTTATATAAAAAAATAAAAAGTGAAAGCTCCGAATCGAAATGCCTTATATATATATAAATTAAAAACCAATTGTTAAATTGAAAAGAAATTAAACTTAAAAAAAAATGACCAAAAAATAGCAATCAAAACTAAACGGTTTGAATTTTTTTTTTAAATAAGGACCACAATGTATTTACATGGATAGGAAAGAAAAAAAAAAGATAAAAAAAATGACCAAAAAATAGCAATCAAAACTAAACGGTTTGAATTTTTTTTTTAAATAAGGACCACAATGTATTTACATGGATAGGAAAGAAAAAAAAAAGATCACCGAAAATACATTGGTTACATTTAGAGTACATGTTTTGCCTGCAATAGAAGAGGAGATGGAGAGCAATCAACTAAGATGATGGAAGAGATTTTTTGACCATCGAAAACTGTAGCACGTGCTGTGCAAAGTGTGTGGCACTTCTAACATGTTTGTGCTTGCTCTACACGCGCTCATAATTTTTTAATTAAAAAATTATTTTTTAAAAAGGTATTATATTACTATCTTTAACCAACCTTCCAATCAACAGCAAAACCAAGTCTAAAAAAATTTAAATATCCCTGACTACAATGAACTAAATGTTTTGCATCTAAAGGTACATGTGTAATTCTACTGTGTATAAAACAAATACCTAAATGCCTCTTACCCGAGACCACTATTTTTTTTTTTTTACTTTTAGGGGTATTTTTTTTATTTTACCCTTCACAAAACATTGAATAAACACAAATACCCTTGAACAAATTAGTAATGACTAATTCATCTTATGAAAATACCAAAATAACCCTGGTCCAAAGACATACAATCTTTCATAAGAAGGATAAAATAATCATTATACGATAGCGATAAACAATAAAATGTGAGAGGGGCTATAGTAAATCCTTCTTCTATTTTAGTTGTTTGCTAATTTTAAACATGGCTAAACTTACTAAAAAAATGTGTGCTTGCATGTTTTTTTAGCATTGTTTTAGAATTTTTATATACCAAGAAAAAATAATTATTCTTGTATATTTAAGCATTTATTTCATCTTTATAAAAATAAATGAATACAAAAAATATTTTTTGCATGTATTTTTGGACTCTGTAGCAAGTTTATAAAGTCCATTAGAATTTGACCTAAATTAAAAAAATCAATTATATTAACATATCAAAATTAAAAATAAAAATAAATTAAAACTATCAATCTTGTCTTTCTAAATAAAAATAATAATTGTTATTTATGTTTGAAGTAAATAGACTCGTAGCAAACCATCATCTTGAACATTTAAAAATAATAACATGGTTTCTGAATTTTTAACAAAAATAAAAAGTTTTAAATAAGTTTTTTTAATATGTATTCATTGATATCATAGTCGAGAAATAACAACTTAGATTAATATCTATCAATACTAAAATTAAGAATATTGTCTATACTATTTATTAATACAAGGGTCGTGAATCTTTGTATTTATTAATTTCAGAATTTGAAATATTTTTACTATTTAGTAATGTGAGAGTTAAGAATATTAACACTAGAATTAGAAATAACTTTTAACCCAATATTCATTAATATGAAAATCAGACATATTATACATTTTCTTCATGTAATATTTACCAACATCAAAGTTAAAAGTATTTTTAGTTGAATATTCATTAACACGAGATTTGAGAATATTATAAGTAGACCATTAATAGCATAACAAAACATATCCTTATAAATTTAGAGATTTGAGAATATTATAAGTAGACCATCAATAGCATAACAAAAAATACCCTTATAAATTCAGGACAAAACTAGCAATATAATCTACTTCAAGTAGAATGTTTTAGAAGTGTCAATATCTTCTATTTAGCATAACTAGTCCTGTACCATAAAATCTATGTTAACCAGTTAATGTTTCTAATAACTATAATATTAGGTGACAATTCATCAAACAAGACATTTCTCCACTAAGAATAAAATGCCATATTTATATTCTTATTTCTTTTTTATATTTAAGGTTATTGTGATTTCTAGTAGTGATGTAATGACAACTCCGCTTGGAACTTTTTATGACTAAGTTTTGTCATTTATCTATTAATTTCCATGATATGTTTTTCTTATTTGTTTATGACTTTTTATAACTTTAGCATGCATAAATTGGATATATTTGTTTATGACTTTTTATAACTTTAGTATGCATTTTCAATTCATGTTATCATGTATAAATTGGATATGAATTTGTCCCTTTATACATTATCCATTACACTTTAAATGCATATAATATTAATTTTAGGTTAGATAGAAGGTAGTGATATTCCAATAACAATAGTCTATAGTTTGGGTGAGATCTAGAAATCATTTAACTCTTATTTGATTATTTACTTTATAATAATTAGTATATTAATTTAATATTACTCATGGTATTTATCCTTATGCACTTTGTAGGTTTTATATTAACCTTTTAAGGATCATTATTGAGCATGCATGAGACCCTCCAAAACTAGGTAGCATACCTCTTTTTTTTTTTTAGATTAACGTGAGTGTTAGACCCATCTTGCATGCACCATAATTAATTCTACAGGCTCTGAAGTTAACGATCATGTAAACCTTCAATGATCATTACTCTTTTTTTTTTTTAGATTAACGTGAGTATTAGACCCATCTTGCGTGTACCATAATTAATCCTACAGGCTCTGAAGTTAACGATTATGCAAACCTTCAATGATCATCATATAAGCAATCAAGAACTCGAGCTTGAGATCACAAAAGAAACAAACCCTTTAATCCCAAGTTTTTATCATTTGACGACCAACAAGTTTTTATCATTTGACGACGAGCTAGATAGTTAACATACCTCTTGATGCACCAATCCCAAGTTTTTAT